CGTGGATCGAGTATATGGGAGGTAATGGTACCCCGGGCCCATATATCCGACAATTATCATCTTCACCTTGAAGAAGAGTGGTTTTATTGTCCTTGGTATTGAGATTATACTCATGAACAAGGGGCTTGAGAACCTTATACCGGTAAATAATAAGTAGAGAGAAGTCGACTTTGTAATCCCGTGCTGGTGCAGCGTGTGTACCTCACTCACATTTTTTAACTTAAAAAATTCATAAACTAAAAAATGTTCTACAGTCAACATGGAATGATAGAATATTGTTTTAAAAAATGTTCTACACACTATATGAAAAATATAAAGCTAGTGTCCTACACACAACTTGGAATGGCAGTATTTTTTTTAAAAAAGTTCTACACTTCTACATGAAAAATATAAAGCTAGTGTCCTATCTTTCTATGCAACATGAGAGCTTAGTATGGCATGATTGGATGGTAGATCGAGTTCATGATTTGGGCCATCTCACTAGTTGTCCGCTTCATCTTCCAGGGAGTCTGCGCTGACCAACTAGATCGATTCCATAATTGGACGCTTGAACTTGTTCCCAGTGAGGCACTAGCCATAGACTCCATCTTACACCTCTTTTGCCTCCTTGTTGACCCATACACTAATCCGACTATGGTCGTGCCCATTGACATCCTCTTCAAAATGGTAGTCGAGCATAAGGTGGACCACAACATCCCGCCATCGCTAGGGAGCGAGGTTCACCAATGTGCTCTTACACTACGCAACCATGTTCAACTACATGAAGGTTTTGGCTCGCAGGGCCACCGGTGACAGCACCACGAGCACGGGGGCATGATTGGCTCCAATAATTTTGGGATAAAGAAAACAATAGTTAGTTTTATCAAAAAAAATACACAAAGCCTATTTTTTATAATTATCAAAGAATTAAGTGAGGCCTCAAATCTTATTATGCTATTAATTGAGTTCCAATGCAATCTGCACACGGTGGACCTCAAGCCTCCAATTTTGACCAATACCAGATGGTTGTGATGAGCCTTAAATGTATTTGGGTCACCGTGCTAGCATGCTCCCTTGATATCCATTTTGCCTTCTAAGGAATCAGTGCCTACCAACTATTGCATGATTGGATGCTCCATCCAATCCTCGCAAGGCACCGACCCTCAACTCCACGCTTGTTTGGAGATACATGGCAAGATCGACACCAAGATGGTGTCCAAACAACAACATATATTTCTAACATTAATTGCGCTTAGGGGTGACAATAGGCGTTATGGGCTTGATTCTCCAAGCTAGAAAATGACTGTTAGCCTCATAGGAAGCAAGTCGACGTATAATGTCTTTCTCGATAGCCATGATCCTATGCATTCATGGAAGGCAATGTGTGGTGGCATTCCAATGGCACGTGGTGCAGTTCTTGGAGACACAAAGTTTTCTAATCAATGGGTAGATGGTTGCATTACGTTGGAGACGTGTGTTCCACAATGGCAAAGGTCACTACGGGATACAGGGGCACTCGGCAAAGCCCCCAAAATACTCAGCAAACCGTTTGCCGAGTGTTACACTCGGCAAACGACACTCGGCAAACGGTTTAATGGCAATCACTGTTTTGCCAAGTGTTTTTGGTCGGGCGCCCCAAAAACACTCGGCAAATATTTTTTGAAAAAAAAACAAGCACCAGCCATCGGCCGCCACCACCGGCCGCCGCCACCACCTCCTGCTCCGTCGCCGCCTCCACCACCAAGGCCACCTCCTGCTCCGCCAGCACCACCACCACCGCCACCACCAAGCCCGCCTCCTCTGCCTGCTCTGCCACCACCACCCATGCCGCCACCGCCCATGCCACCACCTCCACCGCCACCCATGCCTTCGCCTCCATCCATGCCACCACCTCCACCACCACCCATGCCTCCTCCCCGCAGCCGCGCCGTCCTCCCCGCGACGCCCGACGCAGCCACGCCACCTCCCCAATGCCCCGTTGGCCTCCCAGCGCCGTCCTCCCTGCGCTGGATCGAGAGTTGGGAGAGAGAGGAGAAAAGCTCGCTGGAACCCTAGATCCAGGAGGAGGAGGGCCTACCTCATCGGTGTCACCGCGCGCCATGGATCTCTGCCACGCCACGCCAAGGTTGCCGCACTGAGGCTCTGCTCAGTGCCAGTATTTGCTCGCTGGGGTCGCTGTCTTAGGGCCACCAAGCCCGAGGGCCTCCCGCCACCGTCCATGGCGCGGTGGGCGCGATAGGGCGCAAGGAGGAACACGGTGGGGCGCGGGGAGGAGCGCGGTGGGGCGTCATGGGTGGGCATGGTGGGCGTGGTGGGTGGGCGTGGTGGGAGGCGGCGGGGCTAGATCCGGAGGGGAGGGGCGGCGCCGGATCCGGGAGGGTGGGAGGGAGGCGGTAGGGCCGGATCCGGAGGGGCGGCGCGGCAACCAGATCCGGGGAGAGAGAGGGCGGCGGGGAAGGAGAGGGAGGGGCCGACCGCCGGGGAAGAGAGGGCGGCGCCGGGGAAGGAGAGGGAGGGGCCGGCGCCGGGGAAGAGAGGGAGGGGAGGGGCCGGCCGCCGGCGGGAGGAGGGGAGGCGTCAGCCGCCGGCGGGATCCGGGGAGGGAGCGAGCTGGGGCGAAGGGAGGGGAGGGAGCGAGCTGGGGCGAGAGGGAGGGGAAGGTGGGAACGGGAGGTGATTTTTTGTGCAGCGTGTTTTTTTTTTTTTTCATCTTTGCCGTGTGTTTCTTTTTTGACCCTCGGCAAACTCCCTATTTGCCGAGTGTTTATTTTTGACACTCGGCAAACCCCCCTCTTTGACGAGTGTTTTTTTTGACACTCGGCAAACCCGCTATTTGCCGAGGGTTTTTGTTTTGCCGAGTGTTTTTAGCACAGCACTCGGCAAAGAATTTGTTTGCCGAGTACCCGAGGGAATGCACTCGGCAAATTTGAGGTTTCCGGTAGTGGGTGTAAGGTATCCATATTAGCATCTTCACCTTCAAGATGAGTGGTTTTATTGTCCTCGGCATTGAGATTATACCCATGAACAATTGGGTTGAGAGCCTTATACTAGTATACAATCAGTAGAGAGAAGTCTTGACTTATTTGTAATCCCATACTTGTGCAGAGTGTGTAACTCACGCATATTTTTAACTTAAAGAATTCGTAAACTAAAAAATGTTCTACAGACAACTTGGAATGATAGTTTTTTAGAAAAAATGTTCTACACACTACATGAAAAATATAAAGCTAGTGTCCTATCTTTCTATGCAACATGAGAGCTTAGTATGGCGTGATGGGATGGTGTAGAGTTCATGATTTATTAATCAAACACACAGTAAGTTGCAATACTGAATGAATTCAAGATATTGCCCTAGAGCACGCATTATTATACCAAGCACGCATTTCCAAATTGTGTATAGAACGGTTTTTCTAGAAAGTATTGGTTCACATATAGTGGAAGCATCAAGTTATTTTTATCATGTTTTTTTTTTTGCATAAAACCCAAAAATACTTATAATGATCAAATAGTTAAGTGGGGCCTCAAATCTTGTTCCTCTGCAAGAGAACGCACGCGAGTGGGCCAGAGGGTGGTTTCACACTAATCCTCTTTCCTTTCTTTGCTTCCATTTTCTGTATATATTTATAGATTGAATTTAAAATAGATTGATTTTTTAGTTATAACTATTTTTAGTACAATAATTTAAAATAGATTGAATTTATGTTGTTATCCGTCCACAAATATTTCAGAATTTTTAAGTATATATTTATTTATATGACTTTGAATGAATATATTTTCTTGTGAATCAAAATATAGTCTACTAATTGAATGGTCTCATGAAGTGATTCCTGTTTATCATCTATTTTTCGTGTGAAACACACAGACACATACCTAGACCGCCAAATTTCGAGACCGATGCTCACATACACAGTACACATGAGCATTTTTAACACATGGAAGGTATTTCCTAGAGACTGAGCTAGACTATCAAATCTCTCAGTTTGATGAAATAATTATGGACAATCGCTTCCGAGAGACTGAACTAGACCGATCAATCTCAAGTTTGATGAAGTCACCCACATCCACATGTGCATCACTGTTGATGGGCACATCGTCTAACACAGAAAGAATGACGTTGTTAAATCATAAAATAAATTTAGAAAAAATAGGAACGTCAGTGTTAAGTCAAGAACTTAAATCCAGATGGATAATTTTACCGTAAGAAATTTAACGAACTTCACACCCGCCCACCCATACAATATAGATAGATTATATATTTAACTAGTTCACCAATCCGTTTATGGAGCAGGGCCCTACTAAAGGCATCTTGCCATCAAGGCATTGCACACTTGAGGAGAAGAATCGTACTAAGAAAGAAGCGTGGTTCCTTCTTACCCTTGCATGCATGTTCATACAAAAATTCTTAAGGGTGCGTTCGGTTCTCTAGGATTTGGCCCAGGAACAATTTTAGCTCCTCAAGACTATACAAATTACTGAAGCAATCCAACTAAAAATCATTCCAGACATTCGTTCCAAAAGAACCGAACAAAGCCTAAGGATATGTTCGGTTACCCAAGATTGGAGCTAGAACCATTCCAGCTAAGAATCTTTTCAGTGGCTCCTTCCTAGAGAACCGAACGAGCCTCAGACTGTGCTATATCTATACGTCGAAAATTTGTTTATCATCCATTTCATCCGCGAAACGGGCTCTTCTGGACGCTGGGTGCAAATCCAAGCAAGAGCAAACCAAAGCTGGAGTGGCGCAAACTGGCAAGTCACCCAGAACGCAGGACGCCCACGAACCAAACCACGTCACGCGTCCCACCTGTTCTCATCCCATTGGCCCGTGCGCCCCAAACGCGCCGTTCACCCTCCGATCACATGACGTGGACGAACTGACGGCGCAGAACTCCCCCGCCACGTAGGCACGCGCGCCGGCCCGAATCGAACCGAACCAACCAGCCCTGACCGCACCCGCTTCAAGTTCGGCTGCTGCAAGAGCAGAGCAGCAGGCAGCGAGCCCAACCAGTGAGGCGAGAGAGATGGCGAGACGCGCCGTCGCCTTGCTCGTCGCCGTCGCGCTCGCGGCCGTCCTCCTGTACCCCGTCGCGGCTGCGGCTGCGGTGGGGCAGAAGAAGCCGGCGACGGCCGCGAGGCGAGAGGACATCCCCTACATCCGGTGCCAGGTGTGCGAGCGGATCGCGCGCGAGATCTCCGCGCAGGTCGCCAAGAAGCAGCAGGCGCTCCAGCCCTCCAAGAAGGTACTCTGCTCTGCTCTGCTCGGTGTCGATTCGGGCGGTTGGCTCTTGGCTGGCTGCGTAGTTGGTGTGTGGTGGGGTGGTCGGTGGTGTGCTGATGAATTGGGGACTGGGGGTGCGTGCAGGTGCCGGAGATCGAGATCATCGAGATCGCGGAGAATGTCTGCAACCTGAAGAAGCAGGAGGCGGATTGGATGCTCCGGATCGACATCGTCGAGAAAGGCGACAAGCTCGAGGTAAATTCGCACTGTCTGTTGTTTGTTTATTGAGGTTGGTGTGGCAGGATTGTGACTGAAATTCTTAAACTCAGCAGTTTGATACAAGTGAACTTTGTTATGGAAAGCTGTTGTTTATTCCATTTTTCCATAATATTTGCAGAGTCCTGTGAGTATATTTATACTTGCCTTGTTTCCCCCCTTGTGACACTGGGAACTAGGAACCCATTCTGCACTGTATTCGCCTTGGTGTGAAGTTATACCTGACAGGAATTATGTGTCCAACTAGTAGTTTCTTTCCTCTAGGCAGCGAGAAATAAAAAACTGCTCTACATGTTTCTGACTGATGTAGCTTCGTGTTTAACTGTGAGGTTTCCGCAAATGTATAATCTAAGTCTCGTACTGATATATAGGTTTGTTTTGCAGCTTGTTGAGCAAGATGAGGAAGGGCATTGCAATGCAGAATGCAAGACCATTGAGCGTGCATGTCAGGAGGTTGTTTGATATATATTTTTTGTAACTGTATTGATTTTTTATGAATCTTGTTAAAGTTTGCCTTCTGATTTTACATTAATTACTAACCATAAAGGAGCAGGCACAGCACTATTTTTATTAAATATTGTCATGTTGAATTTTGCTGAATCGAATTCATTGCAGGTGATAGGATATGCTGATACTGATGTTGCTGAGTTTGTATACAAAAATAACCCCTCAGTTGATCAGCTGATGAAATTTCTCTGCAAAGATCTTTCGAAAGCGTGTTCCAAGGATCTGCCGCCAGTTCCAAAAGTGAGTCCTTGGAGCCTCCCTTTTCTGACTTTGAGCTTTAGGTTCTAGTATTTCCTAATAAAGACATAAGTAGAATGCTTTGGTATCAAACTTTGTTTTAGTTTGACAATACCCTGTTAAGTGTTCATATACAATATTGTCAAGCTGCACCTAAGGAAACTGAATCGCATTTATTATGTAGTCTGCAGTGAATTCAGTTGTTTTCTGACTTATATGTTGAAGTGCTTTGGTGAAAAATGTGGTAGTATGTTGCAAGACTTTTTTTTCCCCTAACTGGGAAAGCAAAAGTAGTTATGAACTTTATGAAGTGATAGAATCAAAGACTTAACAAAGGAATTGTATGTTATCATTTGAAGGATGGCATTGCATGATTTTGAAGCTCACTATAGCTATACTTGTTACATGGCCATTTCACTTGTAAAAAATAACTACAAGCTGATATAAGTATAGTAGCCTGTGAGGCTTTAGGACATGAGTGTCAAGAAGATAAGTACCGACATCTCATTCGTAGACATCATTATGAATTTTACAGGATCGAGTCCCTGGGGAACCATTTGCAAGGAAGCCATCAAAAGATGCTGAGATGGAAAAGATATTGAGATCAATGGAGGTAGATACTTTAACTTCAGCCAGTTTAACTTTATCCAAGTGGATCCCAAATATTAAAAAATGCTACTTATGGGTGATGGCAGGGTATGCCGGGAGCCCCAAGCATGAAGATGTACTCCAGGGACGATCTGATGAAAAATAACTTTGGTACTGAAGACGATGATGATGAAGATGATGAAGACGAGGATGACAACTTCCCAAAGAACTTGGTAATGATTCAAAACAATTTGAGTGAAAAAATTCCATTCCAAGTTAAACATCTAATCGCACCTACTCGTGCAGGGAAAAGCTCTGAAAGACAAGGGTTCTCAAAAGAAAGATTTGAAACAGCAAGTCGTGCAACAGTTGAAGGATGCCAGTAAAAAGTTGAAAGGGCATGTAAACAAAGTGTCCAATGTGGTAAAGAAATGGTGGAAAGGGGCAAAGAAGCCCGTCAAATCCAGCAAAAGCAAAACTGAACTCTGAAGACCACAGCATTGTTGAATCAGTTCAGTAATTTCACCCATCTCCCAATTCTCCTGGAGCAAAGTTTTAGATGATTTTCGGAAGATAAAGTTGCAGCAACACATCCAGAGTTTTTATTAGAGATTTTAGCTACATAAACGTGTACAATTATTTTTTTCTGTTTATTTTCAGTGTACACTAGGACAAGAACTGGACTCTGATGATAGTTTTACCAGGCTAGTCGAGTCCCAATTGGTTGTTAGTGTCTGGTATTCTGTAAAACAAACTACTGTTGACACCAGTAAATTAGATTATTGGCTACGCATAATCTAGCTGTTCACTAACTAATGTCTTACTGTCAAGTTTATCTGGGCTGCTGGAGGTTCACACAGGCAGGCATTGCCCAAATTTGTGCTAGAACATTTGTCCTCTAAAATTAGCTTGTCCCAGTTAAGAACAGGAGAAGTGTTATTCCAGAGCCACACAACCTGAAGCCGAACCGGCCCCACTCCAGTTTCCAATTTGGAGGCCCCTCCAGTTTCCAATTTGGAAACGGGAGGTTCTCCCCGCCCCGCGGGAATAGAAGCTTCCGACGAGCAGCTAGCTTCATCATTCCTTCCGGGCAGAGAAATAACTCTCTCCCGTCGCCGGGATCCCGCCGGTGACAATGGTAAGGTGGCTGCCGCCGCCGCCGCCAGCGGACGGCGAGCTACTCTTGGGCCCCGACGCCGTCACGTTGTCCTTCTTCGTGGCGTGCGTGGCCGCCACCGTCGCGCTCACGTCGTCCATGTGCTCAGCGTGCGGCCGCAAGCCAAAGGCGGCCACCAATGCGGACCCGGCCGCGTCGGACCAGCCGGCCGGGACGGGCTCCGTCTCCGGCGGCAGCGGCAGCGGCAGCCAGGAGGCTGGCGCCGAGGTGGGGGAGGAGGAGGCGGTGGTGAGGCTGTCGCCGGAGCTGGCGACGCACGGCGCCATCGACCCGGTGGCGCTGCCGTCGTCGACGTCGAAGCGGCGGCTGTCCATCAGCGTGAGCAAGAAACTGAGCATGAACATCCCGGACAAGCTGCGGCTGAGCCGGCGGGATCCCAAGGACCACCATCACAAGGTGGAGTCGGAGGACACGCTGTGGAAGAAGGGCATCATCCTCGGGGAGAAGTGCAGGATCCCCGGGGAGCGGGAGGCGGAGTTCGGCGACCCCGTCGACCCCACCGACGAGATCGCCGCCGGCAGCTTCCGCAGGTCCAGCTACTCCCGGCCTGTGTCGCGGTCGAGCTCGTTCGTCATGTACCAGCAGCCACAGCCGCAGCAGCAGCAGCAGCACGACGCTCCCGCCTTGCACGCCTCGGATTCTTGACAGCCCGAGAGTACGTGTACTACGTGTGTATAGGCGTCAAAGCGGAGAGCGATGCTACTACGCTAGGATGATGTGAGGTGCATTCAGATTCAGATGTAATTGCTCTATAATTTTCTTCTGTCATCTTATCTTTATGAAATTGTGTGGTCTGGATGCATGGACAATCACCAAGTAAAAGATCCCGTTTGGAACCAAGGAATTTCGTATAAAATTTGAAAACGAAAGTTTAGAAAATTTGGGGCATCGATGACAGTACCCTTCAAAGAATAGCACTCCTTCATAATTGGTGGGTAGGGGGTAGGAGGTAGAGGTCTAGAGGATATAAATGGACGGTTGAGAAAGATTTGTCAGCACGCTAAAAGAGTTCGATCGAAGAGGATGATGACCAGATGCCGGCCCTTTTTCTGACGATGTGATGTAATTTATTCTCATCGCTTCAACTTTGGATGCACGGATAAATGGTCTTGATGACAAACACGTACACAAATTTACAAATCCCCATTTTCTCTGAATCACATTTGTGCAGCATTTACATGACATACGGTGTTGCTCTTATGCAATTGAGAAGATGAGCAATCTCTAATTACACTTGCACATGCATATTATTTTTACTTGTCCACATTTTCCCATACTACTTATCTATTGATTCCTGAGATTATCTATTGTCCATATTTATTTCATGCTGGATAATTAGTCCGGTGTGATCTACTCGAATTGTACCAATAGATGTGGACGGACGAGAAACCTATTCACGTGCGACACTAGTATAGCTGCTGGATGAAAATGAACAAATGCCATGGCAGATAATAATACGCATCTCCAACCGTGCAGGACCGTAAAACCCGTGAGAATGACGGATGACCAACCACGCAACCACTAGTATTTCTGTGTGCTAAAACTGGCAAGGAAAATCATGTGGTATGTGCTAGCTAGCTACATATGGCAAGTGCGCCTGCAGCCTGACCCTGGAGGCCTCTCTGCGCTGGACACACGGCGGCCTTGCCAGGAGAGGAAGCAGTGTGTGTTTACTAGGGTGACGACTGACAACACTGCCTGATCTAGAATATATGCAGTACTGTACTCTCGGATTTATTTCGAACGAAACAGGGCATTGATTGAAATTTAGAGTCTGAATCATTTCGGTCATGGCGCTCTCTCTCTCTCCCCCCCCCCCTGTTCTTCTGAAGATATATAGTAGTCATCGAGAGTGTGAGAGAGGTGTGTGTCATGCATGCCCTAAACCCTAAGGGTCCGTTCAGTTACGATGTTCCCGATCCTCCTGACCGGGAATGGTTCTGGACATGCAGAAAATAACGAAGAAATAGCGAGGCCAGGAATCGATTCCATATAACCGAACAAGGCCTAAATGATCTTATCTTAAGAAACAAATACAACGAGGATTGCATTGCAGTTGATGATGAGATATTGCACATGGCACAAGACGTGTCAGCAATGGTATTTGCTTCACTCAGCTAGTAGATGAAAACCATGTCATTAATTAACACCGCAACACACAGCAAACCTAGCAGTACCAAATATTACTATGGTCATGTTCGCTTATCTTATAATCCGTACTTTTTAGTGTTTCTGCTTGTTTTTTTTTCAGCGAAGCAAACGGGCCTATGTTGATAGTAAATCATAGCAGGACTCCATTAGAACCATATATATAATCCATAAAGTAACTTGCCAGACCTACTAGGCTAGGTAGGCCAACAATTGACACGCTAGATATAAGCGACAGACAGTGGACGATCTATATATGATGTTTAGACTGATTAGCACTCGAGCTCCGGGATGATGCATGCATGCATGCGATAGCATGAACGAGTAGCTAGCTAGGTCCTATTACTACTACACCGATTATTAATTTCTTGCGTGGCCTGGCTGCTGGAGCCTGGAGACCCGATGGACGTTGGCGTACGTGGATGATGTCTCACCAGACCGAGACGAAGGTCCCCACGGCAAGCGCCGCACACAGCAGGAAGCGGAAGAGGCGGTAGTAGAAGGAGAGCTCGTCGTGGGCAGTCCTGTCGTGTCAGGCGACGAGCATCCAGAGGACGTCGGTGGCGGGTCCGGCGGTGAGCCATCCCACGATGTAGGCGAAGAAGGCGACCGGCCGCGCCGGCACGAGGACGCCTATGGTGGCCGCGAGCACCTGCGCGGAGGCGGCCAGAAGCAGACGCTGCGACGCCGTGCGCAGGGCCGCCACCTGATCAGCATGGGCGCAGGCCCCCTGCAGTGGCAAATACGTAAACATGGTCACCGTCCTTGGTCGATGCGACAAGAATTGAAGAAGCTGCTTTTCAATTTCACCCCAAGAGGCATGCAAGAGCCAATTAAGCTAGCCCAAGAACTAACGGTTTAGAATGCAGAAATTTCACATGAAGGGCCGTATCAGTTGACAAGCGAACGTCGTACGTACCAGCTCCAGCAGGCTGGAGTCGGCCGCGGACAGGGCGAGCCCCGCCGCGGCGCATCCCATTAGTAACGGGCCGCCGCCCACGTCACACGACGCGCGCCACCTGCGCCTGATGCCCCCGCCCACGCGTCACGGTCACGCGCGTCACCTGCGTCCACGCCGCCGGCCGTGCTGCTGCCGCCGCCGCTCCTGCTGGCGGTGCTGCTGCTCCCGCCGCCGCCGCCTCCACGGGGACGGCCACCGCAAATGCTCCTGCTGGAAGACCTTATCAAACAGGGATGGCGAGGCGCTAGGCGCTACAGGACGAGGTGGAATGCTCATCACGTACCAGCACTGTTCCTCCCAGCAGCAGGATCGATCTCCACCGATAGGCCCAACGGCTTATTGGACCATTGGATCTGCGTCCTGATCAGGGGCGTCCAACCCTAATATGTTTGGTGGGCTCCTATCACACAGCACTATAAAGAGAGGTGTGAGGACCAGGGCTCGGATGACGAAGTTGACCGGAGCCGCCGTAACCACCTACAGAAAACCTAATCCTATCTAAAGAAGAGTGCTGCCAGCGACGGGAAGCCCACCGACTCCGCCGTCGCCTCTGCATCGCCACTGAACATCATCTCCACCACGCTGGACACCACCGCGCCGAGCTCCCTCGACACCGTCGTCCACGAGGCTATGGCGCAACTGCGCCAGGGCGAACTAGAGGAACCCTAAGTAAGATGTTTAAACCTCGATCTACTTTACAGTGGTACATTGTGATCTAACAATGGTACCAGCGCCGAGGTTGCCACTGTGTAGATCTAGTATGGGGTAAAGCATAGAAAAGAAATCAAAGAAAGAACAAGGGTTCGATCCGTTTCAGATTGAAACCCTAACCGGGTAAAAGAAAACAGAAAAAAGACCAGGGGTGGTGGACGTCACTGAACTCCCGGTCACCACCGCCACCGCGCGGGGAAAAGATGCCGCACCGCCGTCTTCGCCGGCGCGTGGCAAGAAAAGAACATCGGTGTTCGGATCTGAGAAGAGAATAGAAAGGGGTCTCGACACTCCAAGTCAAACCCTAACCCTAACCCCAAACCCAAATCGGTCAACTCCGAAAGAAAAGAAAGAAGATTCAAAGAGAAGAAAGGGAAGAGGGGAAGGGGCTTATCTCGAAGATCTTGAACAAAACCAAGAGAAAAAACTGAATCGGGTTCAACCAAATCCTAACCCTAACTCTAACTCATGACGAGCAAGGGGAAGAGAGCGATTCGGTACAAATAGAAAAAAAAAGAAATCAAATGAAAAAGATGAACCGAATCGATCGAAACAAATCGGGTTAATCCTAACCCTAACAATTCCCTTACCCTAACCCTAACTGGGTGAAAGAAAGAAGAAAAGAGAGGGATTCGGCCTAGAAGAGAAACAAAGCCGAACCCTAAACCCGTGAAGTCCCTCTGGGGAAGAAGAACAGTGCCCATCCCATAACCCTAACCCTAATTTTTGACCCCATCCCCAAATCGGGTTAATCCTAGAAAAAAGAAGGGAAAGGGGGAAGAGGAAGAGCCGTTTTGGCTTACCTCGCCGCTGCGCAGTGCTGCTGCCTCGCCGGCGCGTGAGGAGAAGAAAGGGCCGAGCCAGGGAGCTGCTCGCGGGGCTCGGCCAAGGGGGCGCCACGGCCAGGCCGCTCGACGGCGGCGCGCTCACCTACCGGGGAGCGCGCACGCCGGCGAGGGGGCCGGTGACGGTGCCATGGTTGTCCGCTCCACTGCTTCATTCGCTCAGTACCTTGCTGCGGCTGAGAGAGAGGAAGGGAGGCGCCGAATGAGATAGGGTTTTCGAGAAAGACCGGCGTCCGCGGTTTTTGTTCGGGCGAGACGGCCGAGCGACCGTCGGATGCGATCCGACGACGGAGCGCAACTGGGCCAATTTCGGCCCAGGCGGGCGCGGGCGCGAGGCCACTTTCCCGGCCCAAGCCTAGGTTGCGGCCTGGGCGCGGGGGAGAGCGCAGGACAGCGCGCGCGGGGGCGTGGGCCGTGGGCCGCTTTGCTGGTTGGGCCGAAGACAGTAACGGAAATGAATCAGTTTTCTTTTTTTCTTTTTTTCAATAAATGTTAATTTCCTGGAAATTGATTAATGACTTAAAGAAAATAGAAAAGAGATTTGTCCTGTGGGCAAAAATTCATTAAATTGAATTATTTTTCCGCTGCGAATTTGAAGATGTTATTTTCATTATTAAATTCGAACCAACGGGAGAATTTAATTTTGAAAATGGATATGTTTTTAATTGATTATAATATTATTATTATTCTGACCAACGTTGATTAATGGCAATATTATGATGTTATTTATGATGAGATTTTGACATGGCTACTAAAGAAATTGTTAATTCTCCAGTTATTTTGAACCAACGTGATATTTAATTGGAGAAAAAGAGATTTTGACATGATTATGATGTTGTTATTTTCTGACCAACATTGTTAATAACAATATCGTAATTTTAATGATTTATACATTAATTATTTCTGCCCAACGGTGATGTAGAATTAGTGTATAAGAACAGTTGTATGTCTTAATTTTGACCAACGTTGGAATCAAGGCATGCAATTATTGTTATTTTTATGTTAAGGAAAAGTTTGACCTGGCCTTCATCTTGGTTGAGGTGGACTGGGTAGTCATCTCACTGTGTCCCACTGATCCTATGGCACCGGTGAGGGAGACAAACGAGACTGATGCCACTTGGGCAACTAAAGAGAGGGATTTTTAATTCCAAAAGATATCCTATGACCTTGAGCATAGGAAGTGGATCACTGCCAATAAGAAATATTTGACTATGATAAAGAATACGATTGAACCTGTAATTGTGGGCTCAATCCCAGAGTGTGACACGGTTACCGAGTAACTTGATAGAATAAAGAGTCAGTTCACTGGCTCTTCAAAGATATATGCTACTCAGCTGATAAAGCAGCTGGTCACAGAGAGTTACTCTGGAAATGGTGGCATAAGAGAGCTCACGATATGTCGTCGAAATTATGGCAATGATGTTTAGGCCATATTTTGAGGGGAGAATAGAAAGACTAGTTAAGAATAATATTCTTCCTCCATTAGAGCTCTCAGATTTAGAACAATACAGAGAATGCATAAAAGAAAAGTATGTAAAGAAAATTAAGAAAGATGCCAAACGAAGCGCAGGAATTTTACAGATTATTCACACAGACATATGTGGTCCATTTCCTGTAAAGAGTGTGATGATTATGATTCATTCATAACATTCACAGATGATTACTCCCGTTATGGATGTATTTATCCAATCAAAGAAAGAACAGAAGCATTGGATAAATTTAAGATATTTAAGGTGGAAGTTGAAAACCAACTTAATTTAAAGATTAAGATAGTCAGGTCTGATCGTGGGGGTACTATGGTCGGCATACCCCATATTTCCAAGTTCCTGGACCTTTTGCAAGGTTCTTACAGGAGAATGGCATAGTAGCCCAGTATTCTACACCGGGTGAATCTCAGCAGAATAGAGTAGCTGAAAGACGTAATCGTACCCTGATGGATATGGTGCGCAGCTATAATAAGTTACTCCACCTTACCGTTGAGCCTGTGGATGGAGGCGTTAAAAACCGTCATTCATATTCTCAATAGAGTACCAAGTAAGTCAGTGCCAAAAACACCATATGAGTTGTGGACAGGAAGAGTACCCTCACTAAACCACTTACGTGTGTGGGGAGTCCTGCTGAGGCTAAAGTAATTAACCCAAACATTGGGAAGCTAGATCCCAAAACAGTAAGTTGCTATTTCATTGGCTACCTAGAAAAGTCAAAAGATTTTCGTTTCTACTGTACAGACATACATATAAAGTTTGTGGAAACGAGACACGTTGTCTTCCTAAAGGATGAAATGATGAGGGGGAGCATGGTAGCTCGAGAAATTGACCTTGAAGAGAAGCGGATGTATGCGCCCACTCCGATGATTCATGAGCAATTTTTTACCTGCCGTCACTGCACCGATAGTACAAGAAATACTATGGTGCCAACACCTGTTATTATTCCGCCTGTGGCAACAATGAATGACGATGAGAAACCTGTTCTTCAGGATCCTATAGAACCTATTGCCACACATGAGGAAGAGCAACAACAGGCTCAAACAGAAGATGTGCCAATGTGGAGGCCCCTAGAAGGTCTCAAAGAGTTAGAAAATCAGCTATTCCTGCTGACTATGAAGTATACAACACTGAGAAATTTCAAATGGAGGAAGATCCCATCTCATTTGAAGAAGCCATGAGAAGTGATCATTCATCAAAGTGGCTTGAGGCCATGAAAGATGAAATGAAATCTATGAATGCCAATAAAGTTTGAGACTTGGAAATAATTCCTAAAAAAGCCAAAACAGTAGGCTGTAAATGGGTCTACAAAACGAAACTTAACTATCAAGGGAATATAGAAAGATATAAAGCACGACTTATGGCAAAAGACTTTACGCAAAGAGAAGGAATTGATTACAATGAGACTTTTTCTCCAGTCTCATATAAGGAGTCCTTCAGAATCATAATGGCATTAGTGGCACATTATGATTTAGAATTGAATCAGATGGATGTAAAGACGGCATTTCTCAATGGGAACTTGGAGAAAAATGTTTACATGGCACAACCGAAAGGTTTTATCATGGAAGGAAAAGAACGAATGGGATGCCGCCTAAAGAAATTCATTTATGGATTAAAACAAGCTTCAAGACAGTGGTACTTGAAGTTTGATCAGACAATAAGGAATTTTAGGTTTAAAGAGAATGTAGAGGACAATTGTGTCTATGCAAAGTTTAAGAATGGAAAGTTTATCTTTCTTGTCCTGTATGTGGATGATATCTTACTTGCTAGTAGTGATGTCAGTCTACTACTGGAGACAAAGAAGTTTTTTTCTCAAAATTTGATATGAAAGATCTTGATGAAGCTTCGTTCGTTCTAGGGATCGAGATTCATCGAGATAGAAGTAAAGGGGTATTAGGACTGTCACAAAAGGCATACATAGAAAGAATCTGAAAGAAATTCAGTATGCACAAATGTAATCCCTCACCTGCTCCTATAGTCAAGGGCGATAAATATGGGGATTTTCAATGCCTCAGGAACCAATATGAGATCGATCAAATGAAAGCGGTTCCATATGCTTCAGCTGTCGGAAGCTTGCAATATGCTCAAGTATGTACGCGCCCTGACTTGACATTTGTTACCGGGTTACTTGGCAGATTCCAGAGCAATCCTAGAACAGAACACTAGAAATTGATAAAGAAAGTCTTACGTTATTTGCAATGAACGAAAAGCCTCATGATGACGTATAAAAGATCAGATTCACTTTATATAGTGAGATATTCTAATTCTGACTATGCGAGAAATGATAGAAAATATATGTCTGGATATGTATTCACTCTTGCAAGGGGGGCTATTTTATGAAAAAGCTCAAAGCAAACCGTCACTACATCATCCACAATGTATGCCGAGTTTGTAGCGTGTTATGAGGCAACGGGGCAGGTGAACTGACTAAAGAAGTTCATACCCGGTTTTGAAGGTGGTTGACGACATCTATAGACCACTTAAGTGATACTGCGATAATAATCCGGCAGTACAGTATGCTCACAACAATAAGTCAAGTGGTGCTGCCAAACACATTGATATAAAGTATTATGTTGTGAAAGATAAAGTCCAGGATCATGTCATATGTCTTGAGCATATAAGTACCGAAAAGATGTTCGTGGATCCGCTTACAAAAGGCTTACCACCCAACGTGTTTAGAGAACATGTAGCTAACATGGGTTTAAGGAAAAGCCTAAATTTCCTGGACAAAAGAAGACCCAAAATTAAGTATCTATTTCAGAACAGATTGGTGTGTTGTAGCTGTTAAATCTATCGGCAATTGACCGTGACGATGAAACATGCTCTATGCGCTAATCTGTAATGTAATGAACAAAAGTAAATGATATGAAATTAAAAAATGGTAGTGAGATTAAGGAGGAGAATGTTAGTTGATCTCCACCAATAGACCCAACGGCTTATTGGATCCTTGGATCTGCGCCCTAATCGGGGGCGTCCAACCCTAATGTGGTTGATGAGCTCCTGTCACACAGCACTATAAAGAAAGGTGTGGAGACCAGAGCTCGGATGACGAAGTTAACCGGAGCCGCCATAACCATCTACAGAAAACCTAATCCGAAAACCTAATCCGATCTGAAGAATCCCGGCCGTCAGAACAACCAATGCAATTCGTCCCTCCAATGTCCAAACTGATGAGGAGGACTACAGGGTCTTGTACGCACACTCACTCGATCGTGTGGAGCTAGCTAGCACTAGCAGTAACAGCACTGCGTCTCGTCTGGCCCCAATGCCGGCTGCAGTGCGAGGAGGCCAGCTAGCAACGACGACGATACGGCAGCATCCAACCGGCCCGACGCGAGCCCGATCGGGAGAGGCAGCAGCACGCAGGCGGCGTCCGATGCGAGCTGAAACCGGCAATGGCGCCGCTTTCCCTCTGTCTATCGCGTCCTGGGAAATCCTTCGCGTCGAAGGATACGCAGTAGTAGACTAGGAGGAGGATGCGCGGTCGAGATTGCCGCGTACGTGCTCGTCTGATTATTACTAGTATTTTTTTTACAATTGCAACGTGATTTATATGCATGCATGCGTTGTAAATAAACTAATAAGCCTGATGGAAGAGGATGACAGATCTGATGAGTAACTGATATATATGTAAATAAATGGGGAAATCATATCGCAAATGAGGAAATCATATATATAGCAACAACAATTGATGAGGCGATGGCAATGCATCCTCGCTCGGCCCTCGCCGCCTAGTAGTGCCCAACATAAGTCGTGTACACAAGGGTTATAAACGCGCTAGGCGCTATAAGATATGAGATTGATTGATTACATGTGGCCGACCGACCGGGGAATGGACGTATCATGCATGCACATATATACGTTCGGAATTAATTAGTCTCGCACCATGTCCACGGATACTAATTCTATGTATAGACTACTCCCTCCATCCAAAAAAAAACAATTATAAATTTGTGATAAGTCAAAATTTCTTAAATATTTAATACTATATAATTACTCTAATGATATTTATTTAATACTATAAATGTTAATATTTTTAATGGATTCGATCAAATTCAAAATCGCTTGAGAACCGAGAACTACATTTTTTTTTTTTTTCTTTCTTTTTTGTAAACGAGGGGAAGTAGTAGGTCGGAGCGAACGAGAGCACTACATACAACACTATTGGTATATCACCCAGCGGCCCGCATGTATCGGTAGACGCACGTAACGCAACGCTTCCCAGGGATCGAGTGATCGACCAGCCGGCATGGAAAAAAAATAAGAGTTCTCTGCTGCCGTCCACGCGTCCTGACTCGACTTGATGGAGACTTTTTTTTTCCAGCCGGCATCGTCCAAGCCGAGCACGCCCTACCGATCGATCCGGGGAGGCTCTCCTAGTCATAGACTCCTAGTATAGTAGCAAAGCAGCCAACTCGACTCGAGGAGACTCTTTTTTTTTCAGCAAGCGGCAAGCCAAGCAGCACGCCCTACCGATCGATCCGGGAGGCTCTCAAGTCCTAGACTCCTAAAATAGGCGTTTAGTTCGCCACCGAATCGGTGGCCAATTTTGGGTTGGTTATAGTACCGCTTTTGTTTTTTTTTGGTAATAATTGTCCAATCGTTGATTAATTGGGCTCAAAACGTTTGGCTCAGAGAAATTAAACCGCAATTAGTTTTTAATTTCGATTTTAGTACTCTATACATAATGTACAGTAAGTTTGATGTAAAGAATCCTTTTGCAACGAGTTCGAACGGACACTGAAAGATGGGAACGCGGGAAGCTGCGAGGAAATTTCATCGTGTAGCGCGCGGGCGAAGGGTCATGGCTCAGGAGAACAACACCCCACGCGTGCATTGCCTTGTGCCGATGTTAGTTCTGACGCGGTGCATTGGTTCCGTCCGATCCGAGCTGAAACCGGAAAAGGCTTCTAGTGGAAAAGGCTTTTGCACGATGGCTAGGCTAGCAGCATGTCCCGTGCCGCAGTGGCAAGTGCCAAGGATGGGAACGCGGGAAGCTGCGTGGAAATTTCATCGTGTAGCGCGCGGGCGAAGGGTTTATAATTCAACACCCCACGCGTTTTTGTGCCGATTTGCATTTTTTAGTCCGAGCTGAAACCGGAAAGGTTTCTAGTGGAAAAGGCTTTTGCACGATGGCTACTGCCATGTGCCGTGCCGAGACAAAGACGAGGGTTTGTTCGTTTCTTATAATCCGTACTTTTCAGTTTATTTTTTTAGTCGAAACAGTATTTTCTCTCGTAACAAATCAATCGAAACAATGTTTTCAATTTGTTTTTCAACGAAACTAATGGGACAAAAACACAAATGCGATACCGCGTGACACGATCTCATGCATTGGAGTAAATGCAGTAGCCTAGGAGGAGGACGCGGTCGAGATTGGAGTAGGGTAGATGCACTAGCTAGTAGGAGGACGCGTACTGTACGTGCTCGTCTGAATTGTTTTGGGTGGGGCAACGTGGTATGTATAGGCTTCTTTTTTTTTTTTTTTTTTTGAGAAACATGTAGATGGCTATATGCACTGCTAAGGTAACTCTAAAAGAACAGGGGAGAACATGTATATGGGCTGCAGCCCAGTTCTACTTCGAAATATATATAATTTTTTTAATGGGCCTCGATCCTTCCTCGTCACGGACTCACTTGTGGACTTGAAAATGCTGCGACCGAGTCGGGGCATGAAGCTATGAGGCCCAAACGGGAGTGGAGAGGAGGAACTGAGAAAGGGGAAGACAAGAAGAGCCGTCATCATTGCCTCGTTGAGTCGTTGGCATTGAACGTGGGTTCGATCGACTCCCCTTTTCTGATAAATTGATTTGCTTTGCTGACTGGATTTCAGGCATCAAAACAATAGGAGGTTAAAAAAAATACATCTCAAGACGAAACAATCGTGCATTAGGTCCATCCAGGAGAAGCTAATGTTTCGATTTCGTAGATGAAAAAAACCGCAAATTTTGACAAACGGAAACAGTGACTCCAGAAGAACAAAAAAACAAAAGCACGCAGAATCCTATGAGATCAAGACAAATGCCACCCCAATATGGTTGGTTGATCCGAGGGCAACAATATCAAGAATTTGCTGGCTACTGCAAGAAAAATATGAATCAGATGATGAAGCTAGATATGCATTCAGATACAAATGTGTAGCATACAGCCACAGATTACATGTCATGCATAAATAAGTGCTAGGAATTTTTAAGCGCCAAAGCCAGGCATCAACACAGGACAATAAAAGAAAATCAACAACCAAGTCAAGCCGTTCTGTGAAAAGAATTCTCCTCCTTGGTACAGCATCATCATAAGTAAACATTATTATTGAAAATAAAGATCGGTACAATGAAAAACTAATATAAGAATATATACAACAAATACATGATACTTTAGTCTTATTGAGTAGGTAATATGGTTCAATAATAGATAACTGAACGACTAACTTAAGTTTAAGAGTGCATACTTAATCCCAAAACAGCAAGCTAAGCTGGGTGATTACATAGCATCAGTTGGGAATATCCAAGTTGGACGCCTCCGACCACCACGATGCTGTGGCACAGCTGCGGTCTCTGATAACAAGGGTTTGATGATCCCATTTTTCATGTTGTACACACCACTGTCACCAAGAGGATCAGCAGCATCGTTCCCCAGAAAATAGTCACGCACGAAATATATGCAGTTCTCTTCAACTCCAGTGCACTCCCCAGCAGGAAAAGACTTGGAGCAGTGCATCCCAACAAAGAGAGCTTGGCTACCCAACTCACGGACACATATCCATTGGCCTGGTTTGGTGCTCAAATCTGCCTCATAGACCTCAAACCCTGCAGTGCGATCAGACTCCAAGGGACAAGGTTTTATTTCTGGATTACACCCAATCATTCGTCTCACCATCAACAGTCTACCACAACATTCAACTAGATAACTCAGCAACAAGCACGTGTCGGGCAATGGTTGGGGCGGTATAAGTTTAAAAGTGGGGTAACTAGTTATGCATCGGACGGATGATATCTTTGGCTTACCATTAAGACCATAATTAATCTCAAATATTGAAAGCACATTGCCATTAAGACCATACAACTTTCCATTAAAGAAGGTAATATCATCAAGGTGCAACCGCAAGTCAACTGCGATTGGTGGCTGGCAGATACGAAGTCTACCACCACCTTCCAGCGCAACAAGGGAGCCTGGTGATGATTCCAAGGGCAAGGGTGCCATCAGCTTATAGAAATGTGAATTATAATATCTGGAGTTTCCATTGAGCCACGTGATGTCTAGCTTAGAAATATTCAGTGTGGCCTTGGAGAAAAGGTTCATCAGTGAGCAATCACCATCACTATTATGCACAAAGAACATCCAGTTGTCAACAGAACCTCTGCAAAAACCCTTATCTGGTATCGGCATTCTGATAATTTTACCATCCGGAATACTCAAGAAGGTCCCGTCAAGGAGGGTCAGCCAAGGAAGCAGTGGGGGCAGGGGATCTAGCTGAGCGTTGGAACGCCATGGGCGGCACACCGCCCTTAGTCGAACACGATCAGCTAAGGAGGGCAGCCGCCTGAGAACAAGCCCCAATATTTCTGGCAGGAGGTCTGACCAAGACGAAGATCGTGCCTCCTTCATCATGAAAATGCAGGCCTGAGATGAAATTACACAAGGCTCAGAGTTAACAAACTACAGACTTAAAGATGTCGTTAACATGAGCAGTGAATCAAGCACCATATACTATGCAATAAGGCAGATCAGTTTACAATAACAGAATGACAAGCTTAGGGTTTCACAGCTTTCAATCCAGTTTGGAATGTGATTCTTGGAATGACTCCTAAAGTGAATTTACATATCTGTCTTTATAGAAGGATTCTCATGTATGCATATGACAATATTAAGGATTAAAATGACAAGCTAGGAAAACAAAGGAACAAACTGAAAATAGGCTAATGCAAGTTCACTTATTCTTCTTTGATCTTAGGCCAATTGGTATTTATCTGAAAAGAACAAACTGAAGTGATTGACCCTTAACATGAACAAGACATTAGCATCCCTCTATTGTGCACAGAATCATCCTCTAAAATAGTACGGTTAGATAGATAGCCATGTTAGTGTTAATGACCATCACTGCATATTCACAGTACATGATTTAAATGGAGGTGCAACCATTCTGAAACTAGAGCAGACAGGAGCATGAATAGCACAAGGTCCACACCAACGCAGATGCAGCCACTAACCGAAGTCATAAAGATTCACTTGCTCACGATATCCCTCCATTCATGCAGGGAGGGTTCTAACATTTTAAGACTAATAACATCTGCTGTGCAGCGCATGTAATTAATGGATGCTGGCAGCTGCTAATCCGTTTCCGTTTTGTTTTTGACAGCGGCAGGTTTATTTCAAGATTGTTTCCTAAATCATTCCTTAACCTGGTTCTGCTTCTGGGAGCTTTGTGGAATACAAGTTGGTGCATGATGTCAACACTCAACAGTGCAGACTGCAGATATAACTAGCAAATTACAATACACTTTATTTGTGTGCCTAAATTTTTAAAGGCGAACAGGAACTGACTGATGCAACAACTCAGCGGAAAGAAAGCAATTTATCAGAGTGCAGCATGCACAACCCTGCTCTGCATGTTTTTTTTTAAAGTTCTCATTCATGTGACATACAGTAATCTCGTTCTTCATTTACTCTGCTGATGATACAAATAATTCATGTGAATTTGTGAGTTCAGTAATGCAGATCACTAGGTGTGGCGAATTACATATGTGGTGGTCCTGATCAGACATATACATAACATACAGTAAAGACGGATGAATATATAATTCAGCTGCAAGCAAGCTATAGCTTCAGACCTGAACGGCTGAACCTAATCATGCATGATTGCTGGCAGTTTGGACTTTAGACGTGCTACGTGTATATACAAAAAAAATGCAGGATTTGATTTGGAGAGCAGTCAAAATTCAGGACTTCAGGCCAGAAGAAAATCCCCATCCAAGTACACCTAATTACGAATAGGATTGGCACTCCTACTGCCCCATCTATCCCGTTCTTGCGCACAAGCAAGTCGGTCTGCTCCTGTCAGGAATCAATCACGGATCCAAATCCATAACAAACAAACCCTAAAACCGATGCAGCAAACAAATCCACTGGTCCAGCAAGTGGTACGAGCCTTGTACCTAAACCACAGTCAATACATAGAGATGGAACGATCTAACCTTGACGAGGAACGATCTAACCTTGACGCGGTAGAGGCCAAGGTCTACTGGTACTGCTGGGCGTGAGGGGGTGAGGACGACGGGGTAGCGGAGGTTGGCGGCGTTGAGGATGACACCAGCGCCTCGTCCGGATCCGTTAAAAAAGCTGAGGCTTGGGGCGATGGAGGCGGCGGCACGTCCGGATCAAACCCAGCAGGCGCTCAAACCCTGGAGTCCTTATACAGACCGCAGAACGACGGGACAGGAGAGGCCCTCGGTGATGTGGTGGAGTCGGGAGCCGATCGTCAATTCCAAGTATCTGATTTTTTTATATCCTCCTGAATTTGAAGCAGCCCATACCTTGGGGCCCATAAAAGTAATAGAATCGCATTTTTCTGTAATATAATAATAATGATATTTTTCTTTACTCTCCTGAATTATCGGGTCATTTATGGTTTTCTCTCGAAACTGCATATTCATATTTCTTCATGCTGATGTGTCGATGGATCGGCGAACAAACTCAACAAATTAAAAAAACGGATAGGAAATTTTCTGCGTCAGCCTGTCTGTTTTTTTATACATTTGATCCATTTGTTTCTATATTTTCGAAAACGGAAATTTATGGGTAGGGCGTCCGATTGTCCGAATGCCCACATTGGTGGGCCTCGATGCCCGCCTTGAATGGCCCAACACAGATCATACGCGACGGTTGCTCGCGTTGCTTAAAAAGAAAAAAAAAATCGCTCACTTTCCTCTCAAAGCCTGCCGTGGCCGCACCCATTCTTGAATTGCCGACGCGCCTACACTCTGCCTCACTGCTACTGCCTTTCCCCGTTGCTCACTCCCGCCCGCGACGTTTGGCTCTGCAATCCCATGTCGCACTCCATCCTACGCCGCCTCGTGAGCTTCGTCTCGTCCCCCACACCCACGTCACCCACACACGCACATCCACGTCCGTTCCCCCACCCCGTTGTTGGTCGGGCAGCCGACTTCGATGGGTTACGTGTTGTCGGTGGTGGCGAGGATGCTAGAGCAACCCACAACGTCGGGGTAGCCTTGGAGATGGCGCTCCTCGCGGGGCCCTCTGGGCAGCGGCCCTCCTCGGGCTCCCTGCTCGACTGGCCTCGCTGTTGCCACTCTGGCAACTATGCTAGGGAGGCCTTCATCCGCTCCCTGTCCTCCTCGCCGATCTATTGTAGTTCCTCGCTAGGTAGGCCATGGCCGCACGTCGAACGCTATGTTTTAAGTGTTTCTGGCGTTTCAGACTTATATTTCAAGTGTTTTATCTAAATGTTGCAAAAGTAGATTTAGAATGTTGCATATGTTGCAATGACAAAATGCGCATGTTGCAAGCCTATGTTTCAAGTGTTTCTAGTGTTTTAGACGTATGTTGCAAATCTTTCATCTGGATGTTTTAAAAGTAAATCTTTGTGTTGCACATGTTGCAATGGTGAAAGGTCCTTGTTGGTTTTGGTAATTGAGTGACAACCTAGGTGGACTAATTGTGTTTATGTGAGATACACAGGTGATTAGTCCACAGGTACATGTGTGTGAGCAACATATGCCATGAAGGTGAAAATGGCTTGGAGATGTTGCAAAGCTCACACATGTGATGATGAAGGAGCTTATTGCACATGAGACATGACATTGAGTCATGTGATCAAGGTGGAGAAGATCAAGACATGACTTGGCTTGATGGACCGGTTGCAAGCGTGAAGGGCAAGTCGAAGGCTTTGGAGTGATGGACCGCGTGGCGGTGAAGCTTGAGCAAGACTTGGCGCCGATGGACGATGGCAACGGTGAAGAGCAAGTGGAGTCAAGATCGATGAACCAATATGATCATGTGATGATATGAAGTGGATCATATCATTGTTGATCGTGTTGGTGCATGTGTTGCATCGACATTGGAGGAGATGGAATGGAATGCGCAAGGCAAAGGTATAACCTAGGGCATTTCATTTCACCGATCATAGGTGTGTAGAGAAGTTTATGACCGGGTTTAGGATAGATGGCCGTACTATCAAGAGGGGCAAACTTGTTTGCATATTGGTCATCTAGTGCCACTCGAGTGATCTAACTTTGCATTGTCGCTAGGATCGAGTGGCGTGGCAAGTTGAGTGGCTAACATCCTTTGGGAAATGATTGTGAAAATGCTAACACACATACACATGGTGGTGTACACTTGGTGGTGTTGGCACATTTACAAACGAGGTGGTGTTTGCAGGGGTGAGATGGGTTTGGGTCCCTCTCTCCTCCCGCCGAAACTTGTGAGGCGGGATTCGGCGCTTTCGGAAAATAGAATGCCTATTTTCTATTGTGCCGGATGCAAAATTCTTGTGGTTAGCACATTGGAGCAAGGGTGAAGAAGTTAGAAGTGAGAACGAGTTGGTCGCGAAGATCTTTGGCGTCGGTCATCGACCGGACGCCGATCTGAATGCACCGGACGCCGGCAGCGAGCTGCGTCGGTCACCGACGTGGAGTGTAGCGATGAGCCGGAGAGAGTGACCGGACGCTGGTGCTGCGTCCGTCGCGGTTCGACCGGACGCGTCCGGTCATGCTCGAGGAGCTTCTTGGAAACGACCCGGACGCCGGGGTTCTGCGTCCGGTCGGTTGAAGTCTTCGCGTCCGGTCGGCGAGATGACCGTTGGGATCGGAAGATGACCGTTGAACGCAGGGGACACGTGGCGAAATATCGCGTGACCGACGCTGTGGTCCAGGCGTCCGGTCGATCGACCGGAGCGTCCGGTCGTCCCGACCGCTGCCCGATGAAGGGTAACGGCTAGTTTAGCCTTTGGGGCTATAAATAGAAGTGGCCCTCGGCCATGGCTGGTGCTGAGCACCTCAAGGGACTTAGTGTCCATGCTTGTGAGTGCTTGGGAGCCCTCCATCACACACATACTTGATAGCGATCATCCGATTGTGTGAGTGAGCGATTCTAGTGCGATTGCATCGTGAGGTTGCATCGAGTGGCACTAGGTGATCGAGTTGCGAGCCGGTGGTGCTTGTTACTCTTGGAGGTTGCCACCTCCTAGACGGCTTGGTGGTGGTCTCCGTCGAAGCGCGCAAGAAGCTTGTGCGGCGCTCCGGAGAAGTGCTTGTGAGGGGCATTGTGCTCGCCCCGCGGGAGCCGCGAAGAGCAACTCTAGTAAAGCGTGTCATTGAGCTACCCTCACTCAAGGGGTAGGTTCTTGCGGCGCCCGACGTGCGGGCTTAGCGGGTGATGCTAATTAGCCAGCCGAACCACCAAGTGAGCGGTCGACACAACGGGGGGACTAGCGTGTTGGCAAACACGTGAACCTCGGGAGAAAAATCATCGTGTCAACCTTGTTCTTCCCGTTGGTTTGCATCCCCATTACACAAGCTTGCAATTACTTATATATATATATCTTAAGCTTGTGTAGTTGCTCTTGTAATTAGATAGCTTGTGTAGCTAGC